AAGCAATTACTTTAGCAATTCTGATTCCCCATTACATTTTGAGAGAATGTGAATGTGAATGATTAAGGACACACTGAGAAGTAGGATAAAATTAATAAAAGTGTACCAGATTTTTAAATAAACAGTACGAAATATTTATTTGCACTAAACATTCAAAACCATCATTTCATTTTTCTAGAAGGTCAGATACCTGCCATAAGCCACTGGTTGTGCTTCCAAGCAACAAAAACCTCAGCATTTCCTTGGTTGAGTTTCATCCTAGACAGTGCCCTAAACATCTAATTTACTATCATTTTTGTTTTCAGTTACCTAAGAACCAAATTGTCATACTAAACTATTAAAGTGAGAGTTGCAAAAGTTCTCTAAAATAGATCATCCCATAAGGATCACAGTACCACCCTTAGTTTATGAGGGAGAGAAAAGGGGTATGGGGCAGGAATTTTTCTTAACTGAAAAACCAATTCTTCTTGGAAATACACTTCTAGGATACATAAAATACCTTAAAAAACCGAGGATGGCTCCTCACAATGCCATCTTTTGGCAGTTGATTTCAAATAGAGGTTCACTCAGAAAGAAAAAGGGGATTTTTATGAAAAATAGAATCTGGAAAGAGAGAAAAGGAGACCCTCCCCCACAAAAAAAGGACTGAGAAGGGGGGCAGGAAAACTGGGGAAACAATAGCTGCCATTAATCAGACTTGCCCTGGTGTGATCTTTGAATCTCTTTGAATATCTTTCTCTTTCTTGGAAATCCAGCTTGATTTTACAGCTTATGACCTGAGCCAACTACTGCCATGACATTTCTGCTAAAAGCCCAAACCATTAAGACAAAAGCAGGCTTGACATGATTACCAAGACAGGTCTGTTTGTGCATTTCGTTTTATTTTTAACTTTGACAGGTAAAATTGAGTTTATGATGGCAGGTAGTGGAACTTGAGAATCAAACAATTCAGAATACTTAGCTATAACTTGTTCTTGTAAATACATCTTAGCAGTCAGGACTGAACAAAAAATAAACAGGTTGGACAAGATAATTTAAGCAGCAACTGAAAAAAAAATAAAAATGAATTTTCTTTTCTTGTGTACTTTTACATTTCCAGAAGGCTTTTCAATCATTGATTTACTGAAGGTATAAGGCATATAAGTGGAAATCATTACTGTCATCTATATTAATAACACTTTTATAATTTTTTTCTTGCAATTAAATTCTGCTGTCTGAGATTACAGCATAAAAAAGAGTCTCTGAAAAAAATTATAAAAACAATTTAGTCACATATTTCCTTTGTGAGCTTATTTGGTTACATCTGAAAATACTGAGATCTTCTATTCTATGAAAATGATTGTCCCCTCAATCAATAACTATTGAATGCATCAAATACGTCTAGCACTATTTCTGCTACTCAGTAAATACTCAAATATATTTATTGGAATTAGCAACCATTCCCTTTTCTTTGCATCCTCTCCACTTGTTGTTTTTTGATTTAACAAAAGTCATTCTGACTGGTGTGAGATTACGGTTTTGATTTGCATTTCTCTAATGATTAGTGATGGTGACCATTTATTCATATGCTTGTTGTCAGCCTGTGTGTCATCTTTTAAGAAGTGTCTGTTCATGCCTTTTGACTTCTTTTTAGTGGGGTTATTTGGTTTTTTGATGATTTATTAAGTTTCTTACAGATTCTGGATATTAGACCTTTGTCAGATGCACAGTTTGTGAATATTTTCCCCCAGGCTGCAGGCTGTCTGTTTACTTCCTTCATAGTTTCGCTGTGCAGAAGTTCTTGAGTTTAATTAGGTCCTACTTGTCAATTTTTGATTTTGTTGCAATTGCTTTTGAAAACATAGCCAACATCAAAGTAGGGTATTTCCTAGGTTTTCTTCTAAGATTTTCATATTTTGGGGTATTACATTTAAATATTCAATCCATCGGCCAGGTGCGGTGGCTCACACCTGTAATCCCAGCTCTTTGGGAGGCCGAGGCAGGTGGATCACAAGGTCAGGAGATCGAGACCATCCTGGCTAACACAGTGAAACCCCGTCTCTACTGAAAAATGCAAAAAATTAGCCGGGTGTGGTGGTGGACGCCTGTAGTCCCAGCTACTCAGGAGGCTGAGGCAGGAGAATGGCGTGAACCCGGGAGGCAGAGCCAAGATCGCACCACTGCACTCCAGCCTGGGCGACAGAGTAAAGACTGTCTCAAAAAAAAAAAAAAAAAAAAAAAAAAAAATTCAACCCATCTTGAATCAATTTTTGTGCATGGTGAAAGGTCAGGATCTAGCTTTATTCTTCTGCATATCAGCCAGGTATCACAGCACTATTGACTAGGGAGTCCTTTCCTTATTGCTTAGTTTTGTTGAATTTTTCAAAGATTAGATGGCTGTAGGTGTATGACTTTATTTCTGGGTTCTCTATCCTGTTCCGTTGGTCTATTGTCTATTTTTGTGCCAGGACCATGCTTTTTGGTTACTGTAGCCTTGTAGTATAGTTTGAAGTTGGGTAATGTGATGCCTCTTGCTTTGTTCTTTTTGCTTAGGATTGCTTTGGCTATTCAGGCTCTTTTGTTGTTGTTGTTGTTCCCTATGAATTTTCAATAGTTTCTTCTAGTTCTTTAAAAAACAATATTGGTAGTTTGATAGGAATAGCATTGCATATGTAAATCGCATGGGGGTAGCATGGTCATTTTAATGATGCTGATTCTTCCAATCCATGAACAAGAAGTGTTTTTCTATATTTTATGTTGTGATTTCTTTGAGCAGTGTTTTGTAGTTCTCCCTGTAGAGATCTTTCACCTCCTTGGTTAAATTGATTCCTAGATATTTTATTTTTGTCTGTGACTAACATGAATGTGACTGCACTCTTGATTTGGCTCTCAGTTTAAATGTTATTGGTATATAGATATGCTACCGATTTTTGTGTATTATTTTTCTTTGCCAGGTTTTGGTGTTAGGATGATGCTGGCTTCATGGAGTGAGTTAGAGAGAAGTCTCTCCACCTTGATTTTTTTGGAACAGTTTCAGTAGGATTGGTAACAACTCTTCTTTATTTGTCTGGTAGAATTCAGCTGTGAATACAACTGATCATGAGCTTTTATTGGTTGATAGGTTTTTGTATTACAGATCCCATTTCAGAACTTTTTATTGATCTGTTCAGGTTTTCAGTTTTTTCCTGGTTCAATTATGAGAGGTTGTGTGTTTCAAGGAATGTATCCATTTTCTCTAGATTTCCTATTTGTGTACATAGGGGTCTTCATAATAGTTTCTGAGGATCTTTTGTATTTCTGTGGGATTGATTGTAATGTTATCTTTGTCACCTCTAATTGTGCTTGTTTAGATCTCTTTTTATTTGTTAATCTAGTTAACAGTCTGTGGATCTTGTTTATTTATTTAGAGAGCCAACTTTTGGTTTTATTGATCTTTTGTGTAGATTTTCGCATCTTGGTTTCATTCAGTTCGGCTTCACTTTTGGCAATTTTTTTCTCTTCTGCTAACTTTGGGGTTAATTTGCTCTCGTTTTCCTAATTCCTCCAGGTACTGTATTAGATTGTTAATTTGGGAGTTTTCTAATTTCTTTGTTTAGTAGTTTAGTGGAAAGTCTTGGGAGATGGGCACCTGTATGTGTGTGTGTGTGTGTGTGTGTGTGTGTGTGTGTGTGTGTGTATGTATATATCTCACCCTAATGGAATATTGTTCATCCTTAAAAAGGAATGAAATTCTGATACATACTACATGGATGAACTTTGAAAATATGCTAAGTAAAATAAGCCAAACACAAAAGAACAAATATTGTATGACTGTGATTGTATGATTTGTATTTGTATTAATGACAGAGTCTGGAGAGGCAGGAATGGGAAGTTATTGTTTAATGAGTACAAAGTTTCTGTTTAGGTTAATGATAAGGTTGTTGAAATGGATAGTGACAATGCACAATTTTGTGAATGTACTTAATGCCATTGAATCATAAACTTTAAAATGATTAGGATAGTAAATTTGGAGTAATGTATGTTTTGCCACAATAAAAAGAAAATGAATAAGTAAACTTTTTTTAAAATTACTCCCCTGTGGTACAGTTACTCCATTCATCATCACATTAAGACTTCTTCCAGGTTGGGGAGTGTTGCGAGGTGTTGTGAAAATGACCCCACTTGTGAAATCAGGAAACTTTCCCTTAAATCTCAGCAATGTCACCTAGTAGGAATGCAAATTTGAGCAAGTCCCTTAGGTCTATTGCACCTTAGTTTCTTCGGGTTATGCTGTCCAACAGAGTTGTTTTGATGACTGTATTTAAAATGCATATAAAGTGCTTCATAAATTCAAACAACAAGGCAAGTGGATGGAGGTGACTTTTTAAAATATATTCCTTTAGGGAGCTTAGTCATAATACTCTTATCACTGAAATGCATTTACTAATTCATATTTAAATATACTAAAATATTAAGGTATTGTTGGTAAGACAGCCAGTTATTTTTCTAATTTTTCTCTGTTCAAAGCATTGAATCCATAGTTTTTAGAATTAAAAAATGCTGAATTTCCAAGGAACTACATTTCTGTTTGTCATTTCTATAACGAATGGGTTACTAAACCTTTCCATTTATCTTATTTCAATACCTTTTGTTCATTATGTAGCCTCATTGTACATACCTTAGGAAGAAGGGATAATTATACTACCTCAGAAAGAAAGGACAACTATATGATATCTTGTCCGAGATGAAAAACTATGGTCTTCATTCATACCTAATTAAAAATTTTAAAGTATTTATTTTGCTACCTGTTCTCATCTTCATTCCAAACCACACAAACCATTATCAATCTCTACATTGTCAAACATGTAATAATTTGGCATGACATATCAAATTGGACATTATCTTGGAAGGTCCTTTGGATAATTACATTGAAAAATAAATATTTTAAAAGTAACAAATTTTATGCTATAACATCGTAAGTTAATAGTACAATTAATGTCATTGAAACAAATGCCAACTAATTTTTTTGTTTCCCTCTTTAGCGGTTATGTCTTTGACTATGATTACTACAGAGATGATTTCTACAACCGGTATGTGAATTTTTCATCCTTGTTTTCCTATGATTTAAATTATCTTTTAACCATTTTGTACATTTTATTCATGGGTGATCTTGATTATAGTATTTAAAACAATATTTTATAGTTAAAAATAAATACTAAATCCCAACAAAATATACAGATTTTTCTATTTTCATTATACTTACTTGAGTACAGTGGATCTTGGAATTTTAGGACTTTGGAGGTGCTCAAACCTAAGATTTGGTGTCTAATATTTAGATAAAATCCTAAAGATTTAATTAACTAATATCATTTTCCAAGTCATTTGTTGATTTAGAATCCTTCAAGATCGAGTTTGAAAACTTAGAAAAATAACTGCAACCTTCTAAAGTACATAATAAAACATTGAAAATGCTATATTGGGTAGAGTCCGTAAAATTTACAGATCGTTCCTGCTTCGCAGGACAATAGGAGGCCATAAAGGTGATGATGCAAGATGAAAGCATGCAATGAGGAAGAAACAGGATTGTCTCATGACCTTAAACATGTTTGTCAAAACATTAACAACTTTTATTCTCTTCTTTATAAATTAATAGGAAACTATAGTAAAGCTAATTGTTATTTAGTATACTATAATTTAAAACAATAAAAATATTAAGAATTAAGGTGTTTTAGTTCTTTGTAAAGAACACTTATCAGAAGGAGTGGAAACAGTGCATACCTTCTCATTTCCTAACTCAGGACAGGATATGGAGTAGGCATCTGTTTTATGCCTTGTTGGATACTCCTTTCTAAAGCTGAATTAGCTTTGACATTCTATCAGTGTTGTGAACTATCTCTGAGAGTTCTTTCAGTGTGTGATCCTCTTGCCAGGGTCACTTCCCCTTCATAGCTTTATGTGTTTCATCACATCACATCCACTTTCCTCACTTATGTCGATAAGTTTCCCTTTACTAAGTTCCTCTGACTCCATACCTATAGTCTCTTGAGTGGAGAAGTATCATCATCCCTGTAGTGAGCTATTTCTTCTGTAATTTCATTTACATTTGAGTTTCACTTCTAGTATTACCACTCTTAGATTCCTTGCTGCATTTTCATCTTTGTTGATCAATTCTTTCTTTTGATTATTCAATTTTGTAAAATGCCACGTTTTATCACTGAGATAAGGAAGCATTACAATTAATGATCTGAATCAAGTGAAGTGAATAATCAATGAACAGCAAAAAAATCATTGACAGACTTTGAAACAAGGAATGTGATTAGTGATCATTGTTATTATCATGCGCATTTATTATTTATGTATTTATTTGTGGAAAAGCTATAAGCAAAGTTTGGACTTTATTAAATTACTTACCGTTTATATGTTGTAGTAACTAAAATTTGTGTTGTTGGAGAACGGGTGTTATTTGACTAATATTGGTAACTCTGATATGCATACATTGGTAATAATGTATGCATATCAGAGATGAGGATCAACTATAGATAGATTATTGGATCAAAAAAATGAGGTAAATATATTTTAAGCCTTTAATTATAAGTATTATGCAAACAACAAAAATACCCTTAGGTACTGTATAAAAATGCAAACTTAGAAAAAAGTTTTCAATGGATGTTTTAAAGAGGAAGAAACTGTGATCCTTTAGAGTCTTATTCTCTCTGCTCCAGCCTCTAGAGCCCTTTGTAAGTTCCACAAGAAGTTCTTCCTGCCTCAGATCCTTTCTCTGTGTTGTTCCATCTCCTCATACCTCCCTCCACCATCTGGTTCACTTGACTCCTCATCTTTCAGATCTCAGCACGAACATCCCTCACAGAGTAAATTAGGTTCCTCTGTTCCCCTCTCTCAGCACCCAGCACTGTTACTTCACAACACTTCTCCTAATTTATATTGCTATATTTCTTTTCTGCAGTGTTTGATTCATGTCTGTCTGCCTTCCCCCCCACCCCCCACCTAATGAGGTAACATATTATCAGTTTTGCTTATCTTTGTATCCTTGGGGACTATCAATAAACCATACACATAGTGGATACTCTGTGTTATTAATTCATCTCCTTAGATTTAGAGACACAGCCATTTTTCCAAGGTCACCCAGCTAATTAGTGACAGAACTGTGATCATAATCTAGGTATCCAATTTAGATTCAATAACCAACTACGTGAATATGCACAACGGGGTGGGTAATATCAGCCTATGGAGCTATGCCAATTCCTCCCTGGGAATCAGGCCCACAACTGTAACTGCATTGCTGCTATGCTTACACTACTGAATTAAGCACCTTATTTCATTAGTTATCCTTTTCTGACAAAAAATCATGTTTAAGAATGATTTTCTCAAAACATTTTATAATTTCTATAAAATATATTTATTTTAAATATTAAGAAGCTTATAATAACTTGTTCTAAATGTGATGTAAACATCTGGCAGCATTAAAATAATCCCATTTACCATTAAGGAAGGATATCTAGACTGTTTTTACACTATTTGAAAATGTTAGTTTTTGATAAGTTTAAAGATATTTCATACTATAGCTTGTTTTTCACTTGCTACAAATAAAGTATATTGTCTTATACTCTGTCTATATAAAACCATTTTAGCATCTTTTATTTTCTATCATGCGACTTCCTTACACATTTAAAGAATTTCCACCTAACATGGAGTTTTATCGACATGGTAGGAGACCCAAGTTCTGGCTGTTACTGGAAAGGGGTCCCAATTCAGACCCCAAGAGAGGGTTCTTGCATCTTGCAAGAACTAATTCAGGGCGAGTCCACGGTGCAAAGCAAAAGCAAGTTTATTAAGAAAGAAAGGTGGTGAAACTATAGCTACTCCATAGACAGAGTAAAAAAATAAGAGGAAGAACGCACCCGCCCTAGGTACAATGCTTGTTTATCCATAGGATAACAACAACAACAACAAAAACCATGGGGAGGTGTGCTCTACTACAAGGTTTGTGATAAAGGATTAATTTTTCTAATTACTATATTTTGCAAGACTCGATATGATTATCTTTAAAGCAAAATTAGGAACGCTTTTGTTCTTAAGATATGGAGATATCAGGACATTCATGGGCCTGGGTCTGTTTAGTAAACATTATTAATCTGTTCCCTTAACCATAAACTTCTAGAAGCTAGGAATACCTAATTTCCTGGAAATGCAGCCCAGCAAGTCCCAGCCTCCTTCTTCTTAGCCCTCACTCAAGATGGGGTCGCTGTGGTTTGAATGCCTCTGACATGGTAACTAGCCTTATGACTTTAGGCAAGTCAGGTTTTCAGTTTTCTCATCTTTAAAAGGAAGCCTGGATTTGCATTTTATTTATTTAGAAATGATAGCTCAATAAAATCATTAGATTAGATAGGTGATAGATGGATGGAGAGAGATAGGTAGATAGATAGATGGATGGATGGATGATTGATGTATCCATCTTACTTGCCAAAGAACAAGGGCCTTAAATAGTCAAATAATTAGAGAGGCTGTCGCTTTCAGGTGACTCTCTACTATACAAGAACTTAGCTTCAGTATGAACAACTTTCAAAATCATTTGTTTGTTTTGTGTACAATTTGTTTGGCATATAAGTGTGCAGTAGATCAGTATGGTTGTATTGTTAACAGACTGAGCAGTCTGTGCTCTCATTAGTTTGTTTTCCATTTTTGGCACTTGGCTAAGAAAGACATAAGCATCTGCCACTAGTGGATATACTCAAGAGTTCCCTATAAACATAGAATACCATGAAATAAAAACAGAATGGCGAGGCTGGACAAGATATATAGCTTACAGAGTCACTACTAATCCACAGTCATTTCTCATAAGTTACAGTCTTCTTGCATTTGTGTGTGTGTGTGTGTGTGTGTGTGTGTGTGTGTGTGTATTTTCTCTCTTTTTTAGTAGAGGTGCAAACTTGGGCAAGTTAGTTAATATCACAAAATCTGTTATGTCCTCTGGTAGGTAAGCATGAAATTAATTCCTAACTCATGAAATCATTCTAAGAGTTAAATGAGGTAACATATTATAATGGTCAGCATTATGCCTGGTATATTTTTAGTGCTTAATCAATATTAGCTAGTATTAACAGTTAACAGTAACCATTATCAATAATGGGGCCAGGCGCGGTGGCTCACGCTTGATCCCAGCACTTTGGGAGGCTGAGGCGGACGGATCACCTGCAGTCAGGAGTTTGAGACCAGCCTACCCAACATGGTGAAACCCTGTCTCTACTAAAAATACAAAAATTAGCCAGGTGTGGTGGTGGGCGCCTGTAATCCCAGCTAGTCGGGAGGCTGAAGCAGGAGAATTGCTTGAACCCAGGAGGCAGAGGTTTCAGTGAGCCAACATTGTGCCACTGCACTCCAACCTGGGCGACAGAGCGAAATTCTGTCTTTAAAAAAAAAAAAAAGAAAGAAAAAGAAAAAAACAATAATGGTAGATGTATTTCTCATATTGACATTCATACAGCAGTGTCTATAAAACTGAGAAACAAACTGGTTGGTCAGTTTTTCTTCCATAGTAGTTTATTTGGGACTTCTCTGAATTATTCTGTTTTCCCAGTTTTCCCTCTCCTACTCCCCAAAGCATTCCAGCTGCAGCTGATCACACTTACCTGCAGAGAGCGCTCAGCTGTTTCTGTTAACCCCATGCTGCTTGTTTAGGTCTCAAAAACAGAAATTCCACTACTTTTGTTTAACAGGGATAATTGCATATAGAAACTCGTTAACTTGGTATTGAAGAACTGAAAACGCAAAAAGACACCACTATGGTATACTAGAGTTAGCAACTGCAGGAAGCTGCTACCACCTCTAGGACTGGGGAAACCAAGGAAGATTTGGGATCTCAGAAATTGCTGTAGAAAAAGAGCCTACCAGGGCTGAAACTATGCATAGGAGATTCTGTTCAGGTGGTGCTGCTGTGTCTGAGTCCACAGGGAGAACCTGTGGTGCTGACACCCAAATCTCTGAGACGGGGATATGGGTTGACAGGTGCTGGGGTCTTTGAGGGAGCGTGGAGTGGCTGTTCTCCAAGTGTTGCAAAATTACTCAGACC